TTGTTTGTTTGTTTTGAGACAAGGCCTCCCTACGCAGTTCAGGCTCAGGCTGGTCTTCCACTATATATCCCAGGCTGGCCTCGAACTCACGGCGACCCTCTTGCCTCAGCCTCCAAAGAGCTGGGGGTATAGGTGTGTGCCAGCAACTCCAGCTTATCAGAACATTTTTTGAAATTCAATTATGTGATGAACTACTGGTGAAGGTTAAATAGGGCAAAACTGAAAGCTGGGAATCCTATTCTGGGCCCCAGATTCACGAAAACCCGTAAGTTCAAGATGCTCTTGCCTCCAACGCGGCGCAGGCAGAGGCGCCCAGGGGCCTCCCCGTGGCCACCGGGCCGCGGGGCGCTCAGGGACTGAGGGGGTCCCGGAACAGTTTACGAAACCCTACCCGCCGATTGGCCACCGAGACCGGAGCTTCAGCCAATCCCAAGAGCCCTTGGGAGCCCCTGTCAATTGGGCAGAGCGGAGCCAATGGACGCCCGCGTTGTAGCCCCTGCAGCCGGAGTCCCGCCGGGAGGCCCCGAGCGCCCACTGTACGGCGGGCAGGGCGTCTGTCGCGAGCCGCGGGGCCTGGCGGGCCCGGCCGAGGCTGGGAGGCCGGCGCGGCCCTCTGTGAAGTCAGCAGGGCTCGCCGGCCTGGCGCGGCTGCGTCACCGCGGGACCGGGCCTCGGCCACCGACCTGCGCTCCCTGCCGGGAACCGGCCTTGAGCTGGGTGTGGCTCACGCCCTTGATCCCGAGGCTGTGGGAGGCAGAGGCAGGCCTGTCTCAAGTTGGAGCCCAGCAGGGGCACCGTTAGGACTCGTTGCGAGCCGGGCTTTACCCCTGAAAGACGGGGACTGGGGGAGGGGTTCGGTCCCCACTCACACAGCCCGCCCCGCCCCGCCCTGCCCCGGGAGGCGCACAGCTCCCGGGCCTCCCCGCCGCCTCTCAGGCTGCGCCCGCGGGACTAGTTCCTGACCTGTGCCACAAGCTCGGTCAAGCCCTGAGCTGCCTCTGCTGACAGAGAAGGCCCCGGCTGTGGCTCGCCTAGGGCGCCGCTTCCCGGCCCCTGCCCTGTACCGGAGGCGCCTTGGCAGCACCTGACTGCGTGGACGGACACCTGCCGCGGGCTTGAGTTAGGGACCAGGGCGGGAAGGCCCCTGGGCAGCCAGCACCTCGTTTTCAGGCGATGGGGAACTCATCCTCCCTGTACCAGCGGGATGAGAGAGGGGGACACAGGACAGAAGGAAAGAATAAGGGACAAAGTTTCTCAACTCAAACCACAAGACAAGAAACTGAGCGGGCATCTCCCGAAATGAAGACAGGGTGTCCCAGGGGAAATCCCCTGTGAACGGTTAGGAGTCCGGATGAAGGTCCCCATCTCACCGGAGATGATGTTGGGCGTGTTCGGCCCAGGCTCGGAGAGAACTCAGAGCCATCGGACACCATCACCCCGAGAGAGGGAGGAAGTGTGTTCCGATCTCTACGAGGGGCCTGACAGCCCTCACCTGAGGCCCTGGGGTGTCGGGTAGTCAGAGACAAGAAAATGCAACGGAGAGCTCTTGGTACAATGAAAGCATGTTATTATTCATATCAGCAAAGGAGGGCTCCGGTGCCTCACTGCTCATTCTTGCCCCTTCAGAGCCCACAGTCGTAGGCTTCAGGACTGTTCTCCATGTAAAGTCTGACGAAATTTTGATAGATCTTCCTATCCAAGAGGAGGGCTTTAACTGCAGGATCTTCCCTCATGGCTGCCATCCAGAGCTTAAGTTTTGGAGTTTTGTCCACACACCTGTGGGAGGAAGAAGAGAGTGAAGTGAGCTACATAGGTTACGATAGCTGAACAAAGACTCCCATAGAGCATCACTATCATCTCCAGTTTTATTTTGTTTTCCTTTAACCTTTAAACGTATTCCTTTTGCCAGGTGTGGTGGTGCATGCCTGTAATCCCAGCACTCAGGAAGCTGAGGCAGGAAGATTGCTGTGAGTTCAAGGCCAGCCTGGGCTACACAGTGAGTTCAAGCCTAGCCTGAACTACATAGCAAGACCCTGCCTCAAAACAAACAAAAAATTTTCTTTAAAAGCATCTTTAAAATTTGTGCAGTCATACATACTAGATTTGAAAGGTATCAAAGATCTTTGATTTACACGATGAATCTGAAATGAATGTGAAATGACTTGCTCAGTGTGAACACTTGTCCAAGTTGGCAGACTGACAGCTCTTTAAAAGAGAACTTGAAAGAAAGACATCCGAGAAATTAAATATTACTCTATCACCAGATTGTGATTTAAAAAAAATAATCCCAAATAGCCCTAATCTCTAAAAAATGGGAGTAATCAAGGTGGCTGGCTGCCAAGCCCAAAACACAGACTTTAGAATACTGGAAATTACCCTGGTAAGTGGAAAGTTACCCCAATCATAGGTTCCTCCTCCTTATGAAAATGTACATCCTCACGGATTTGTAACCAGGAGGGTAGGAATAAATTTTAAAACATTCGACATTACAGAAATCTCTTGCCCTCAGGAATCAAGAGTAGTGAATGTGGGTCTGTGACATGCTCTGGATAGCTCAGGACTCTCCTATCTGCTTGTTCTCGTTCAGGTGTATTAGATATTTTAACTTTTGTTCAGAAAAAAGTTCCACATGTACTACTGCAACGATCACCCTTTAAGCACAGAATACTCAAATTCCGTACTCTTGGAGCTCCATTACTTCCAGCCGTTCAAACCAGGGCCAGATGAGGTAATCGATCATAGAGACAGAACTGCCACCAAGGAAGGTTGTCCTCTTCTTAGTCAGAACCTGAATATCAAACAACACAACAGTATTTATTTTTGTGTCTAGTAAGAATCGCCACCAGAAAGGTGAGTAAGTTCTGTAGAGCAGGTTTATCCTGACATATCCAAGTGGAGCTTTTGTCTCTTTGATCAGAAAGCTCAAATATGGGCTGGTTGTGTAGCTCAGTGGTACAGCAGCACTTGCCTAGGATCCTCAAGGCCCTAGGTTCAATCCTCAATATCAGGAGAAAAGGAAATAAAAGAAAAAAAAATCAAATAGCTTTAGAATTTGTTGCCTAAAGCAAAACAAAATAAAATGGAAGAAAATAAAAAAGCCAATACAAAGGACAAGTATTCAGAATATAAAAAGAACCCCAGGGACTCAATAAGAAAAACGGCAAACAACTTCTCAGAAAAAACTTGTACTTCACAAGAGAATGTCCAAGTGGCCAACTGTTGTTTTAAAAGATGTTCAACTGTATGAATCACCAAGGAAATGCAAATTGAAACCAAAATGCTATCCATCAGAATGGTTGAAGTGGAAGAGACAAAGTTGGCCAGGGTGTGTAACTGCTGCTGGTAGAAATGTAAACTGGTACAGCTGTTTTAACAGTATGTATATCTTGAACCCAGTAATTCTACTTGGAAATATAACATAGGTTTGCCAAAAGATAGGTATAGAAATGTTCGTTGCAGCACTATTTGTAATAGTGCCAATGTAAAAATGTTTGTCCAAGAAGAATGAGCCACTCACCATGGTGGCAGATGTCTGTAATCCCAGCCCTCGGGAGGCTGAGGCAGTAGGATCACTGCAACCTCAACGCCAGCCTGAGCTACGTAGTGAGTTCAAGGCCAGCCTGAGCTACACGGTGAGACCCTGTCTCAAAAAAAAAAAAAAAGAATGAATGAATCGTGGTACAAACTTTGGAGCACTATACAAAGAATGGAAAAGAGCTACACACAGTTAGATGAACATAATATTGAGTGAAAGAAACCAGATCCAAAAGAGTACATATTCTGATTCAATTTGTGTAAAGTTCACAAACAAAACAACCCAAATGGATATTTTCTTTGATACTATGGGTGCTGGTACCACAGCTCTGTTCATTTTGTGAACATTTATCGAGTTGTATGCTTATGCTTTGGGTACTTTCCTTCATGTAATTTTTTAATAAAAATGTACTGGAAATAGATTGAATTAACTGTTAAACAGTTGACAAGGATTTGAAAAAGCACAAATAGGATCCTTCTAAAATGTGAGAAAGTGCATTGATACTAGGGTGTTACCAGAGAGGGAGACTGCAATATTATCCAGCTAATTAAGCCAGCACCAGTGTGCCCTTTATAAATAGCATCTGTAGTTTCTCATAATTAGCATTATGTAGACTGGCTGTTCACATCTACTTGTCTTCTGCCTGCTATTAAGCTGTGGTCATCTGCAGAATATGGACTGCATCTTTCCAGGTGTACTTCCACATGGTCAAGCAGAAAGAGGTAAATTTCCAACATGGATTCAAAAGAAGAAATGCAAAACCCGCCAAATCAGCCACCACTAAAGAAATTGAAATGGTAATGAAAATCTACTCCTGCAAAAGACACCAGGCTCAAATGTTTTAGGGAAAACAAATTATTTTAAAAACATGCCATGATACAGTTATGGGACTAAGCACCCATAATAATTGGCATTCATTTTTGGTGTTCTGGATTTTCTTTTTCCTTTGTACTACTGGGGATTTAACCCAGGGCCTTCACACTGAACTACCCTGCCAGCCCTTTATTTTATTTATTTATTTATTTTTGAACAGGGTCTCCCTAAGTTGCTAAATTTCCCCAGCTGGGCTTGAACCTGAGCTCCTCCTGCCTTAGCTTCCTAGAGGGCTGGGATTATACGTGTGAGCCCCTACATCGAGCAGAAATTAATTTTTTAATTTGATATTATTCCTAATTACCATAAAAGTAACTTGGGAAATGGAAGAATGAAGAACAACCGGAAGGAAAAGGAGAGTAGATGCAGGGTGTATTATAATACCGTAAAGGATGGAACAAATGATTACCTCTTCTAGCTTGTTCAGTTCGTTCTTCAATTCCTCTTTTATGTCAGAGTAGTCTCCTTTACTTTGCTGTAGCATGAAAACCCTGAATAACAAAGATGGCACCTAGACAGAGAACAGTATTTTAGTTCATCAGTGGGAGGCTAAATACATTGGGCTCCTTACGTAAGAACACGATACAATCCTCATAGGGTGTTCAGCAAAGGCTTATATTACAAACAGTTCTGTGGACGAAGGTGTGTGGGTTAGGATTTTGTAAATTACAAATAGTCTCACTTTGGTTTGTCTGAGCCAAACTTTTCTTTAAAAGACAGTGGCTCACAGAATTGCTAGAAGGCTGAACCTGAAACAGACTTGGAACTCAGAACGTTCCAAACCCATGCCAAGAAGTGGCTGAGGAGAGGTGCCCATCGCCGCCAGCGCAGCAGTCACTCCTACCAGTGTGTAGCTTCGCAGGAAGTGGACTCGGCGACTGCTAGCAACACCAGGCCTGATGCCACCGCCACTCCGGGATTCAGTCTGCTGCTGACACTGCCGCTGGCACCACTCTCGGCAGCAGCACCAGTGGCCCACGCTGGGCCTGTGTCCTCACACCACTCATGTCTCAGCGGGGTGCTACCATGTGTGTGTCTGACAGGGAGAGCTTGGACCACAGGCTTGGGCCCAGCTGGGAAAGGAGCCAGCAAGAGAATTCTTCTGAGTTCTACCTTGGAAAGAACACAGAAGATGACTCTGAGAGACTGACTACTTGAAGACCTGACAGATGTTTCACACTTGTGGTACAGGTATCTGTGTGTTTTAATAACAACCTTTGAGTCAATCTCACTTTAAGTGTAGTCTACTCATCCCGTCTGAAAAACCATGCACTTGTAAAAACAAGAGAAACTCAGGAAATCCCGGCCTTGTCCTCACTGGTACTGCCGGTTTGCAGGCCGCCTTCTGTCCACATTTCCATTTTGCCTGCCTAGTCCTTCATCCTTGCTTTCCTTAAATACAAATGGTGATGGGAAATACCACTCTTAAAAGAGACACTGCAGAAAAAAGTACATTCCCAAGAGTAACAGTTAAGTGAGTTCAAAGCAAGGGGGAGTATTTTGGTATCTTGAGGGACATTAATGGCAATATGTCTTTTACTGCAATAAATGTTTTAAAATTTAAAATGTTCACTGTATTTTTAATCACATCGTGTATCTGCACCATATAATTTTCTATATATCAGTTCCTTTTCCAACGTTCTTCATTTCTCCTTCCCCTAAAAATGTATTTTTAATGTGGCTTGGATGTTCCAACTCTCCAGTCATTTTATGTATATAAATATCTCAAAGCTTTTTGATTGCCTTAGTCTCTGTGTTTCATTTATAAATTCCCAGAAGAGATGATTGGCCAGGTGTGGCAGGGGAGGGGTGGGGTGCATTTCTGGTCCAAAGAGCCATGCCCTGGAGATGGGTCACGTGGTGGAGACTCCACCTTTTCCCCTGAAAGGAACAGGGAAAGAATGGTGGGCATCTCCAACTTTACTTGTCATGCTTATTTTCTTTCTACACAGTGTAGAGAATCTAACTTTTAGACTCACCAGCATTTCTTGTAAATATTATAGGCCCTTTCCATGAGCTTTGACAGCAGCCACTTCCAGTGTTCTTGTACCCTCCCCTAGTGAAGGAGGTGACTCCCTGTGCCTTCCTCATTCTTTTGAAGTATATCCTCAAACAATATAGTCTCCCTATAAGTCCTCCATCTTCTAGGTATTTTTAAAACCATTTTTTTCTCTAGAAATAAAATATTCCTCTGTATCAGCTGTACTAATCAGAGTAATACTTTTACAGGGATATAGCAGGGCATTCCTATTCTTGGTGTCTAAACACAAAGCTGTTGGTCATTTCTTTGCTGCTGCTAGCTGAACTAATCTGAGCTGATGTTAAGTAAGATGCAAATGCTTCTCCAGGAATGCTGTTATTCAGACAGATGAGAGTTCTGGTGAACACTGTGCTCAGTGCTAGACTGTGGCTATCACTGAGTAACAGTGTCTCAGGTCCTGCTCTGCATGTTTCATATCAACTGATTTTTACCTTATAAAGAATAATTATTATACCTATAGTACTTATAAGTGATAACTGGAAGCACTGGGAGGTAATGTAAGGAGTAACTTTCTCCAAGGACACAACATGAAAGTGGCTGAGCAGGCCACAAACATAAGCAGTAAACCCACAGTGATAAAAACAGCCCTCGTCTTCGTGGAGCTCACAGCATGAGCTCATCGATACATGGGTAAAACGGCAGGCAACCATGCGGGCCCAGTGCCTTGACTAGGAATGACTAGGAAGAGTTGGCCTGGCTGGGAATGCAGAGCGAGAGCCCTGACCAGCCTAGCCAAGCTTCTGGAAGGCAGTGGTGAACCAAGCAGAGAAACGGAGGTAAACCAGCCAAGTGAGAAGAAGGAAGACTCCAGCAAGTGCCAAGAGAAGGTGTGGCATGTGGGAACACTGAAACAACATAGCATGGCTGGATCCCAGAGTGTCAGGAGAGGAGGGAGAGGGAAAACTTTGGAAAAGTAACCAGGAATTAAATCAAGGACTTCCAGGACAGGTCAAACTGACAAGGGCATATCCTCTTTGGCTTTTCTCTCACAAATCACTGAGCCATAAACAACAGCATTGATGTGGCTTTTTAAAACAACTTTTTGAAATAGCTGAAATTTCCTATCCACATACCTTAGAAAACAACTCAAAGGTCATCTTTTGGCAAGCTTTCTCATAAGGGTCATCTGGCAGCAGCTTCTTCCCGGGATACACTTCGTCCAGGTATTCACATGTGATGACAGACTCACAGATCAACTGGCCCTGGCTGTTTTCCAGCACTGGCACCAGACCAAGGGGATTCTTCTTAAAGAACCACTCGGGCTTACTTTTCAGGTTGATGTTGACGACTTCATGCCTGAAAGACACATACAAGACTTGGAAGAAAGCACAACATTTTTTTCTACTTTTGAACAAATCCTAAGTGGTCCTATCATCCATCCACTTAGCTGGTGAGACCCCAGTTTTAGGAGTCAGGGCTGCCTTGATCCCCTCCATGACTGTTTTTTATTTTAAGAAGCTATTATCGATATCTCTGCTCCTGCAAGTGGAACCATGCAATATCTGTCTTTCTGCATCTCAACCCATTTAGAATAATGTCCTCAAGACAGTGTCCAGCTGTCACATACTGCAGAACTTCCTCCTCTTTAAAGGTGGAATCGTATGTATACATTACATTTTCTCTACTCATTTATCTGTTGATGGACACTGGCATTACCTACTGTGAATGATGCTGCAATAAGCATGGGTGTGCTAATACCTCTTTGAGATGCTGATCTGAGGCAACTACTTGAACTGTATCCACTACCCACTATATGAGACTCAGCATGTTAAAAGTCATTTTATTCTGATTCAGTTCAAAATGAATCGATTGAATTGAACTATCTGGCTAATGTGAATAAAAAATTCCTTGCTTTTTATAAAGATACTAAGGAATACTAAAAATCAATTCACAAAATGAACTTTTGGATTAAATCCTCATGTGTCGATGTTTTTAAGAATGTTGCATGTTTCTAAAAGTCAAAGTAAAGCCAGGTGTAGTGGTGCACACCTGCAATCCCAGTACTCAGGAGGCAGGAGGATTGCGGAGAGTTGGAGGCCAACCTGAACTGCATAGTGAGATCCTGTCTCAATAAATAAATCACAAAGTAAACCAAAACAGGTGAGGTTCAGGCTATATTCAAACTGTAATAAGACCTACCTTGTATTTTGCCTGAGAAATTGGAGAAAGTAAGAGAAAAGAAAGTATCATATAATTGTTAAAGCCAGGTCTATACAATTTTCAAAGCTGACTCAATGTCCAACAGAACAGACTACTAAAAGAAATGTACACTAAAACGTTTTGTTTCCTATTTTCCACACACAGCAGTAGCTAAAATAGCATTTCATCTCCACATTTAAATATGTAATCCTAGCCAGGCATGGCAGCACACACCTGTAATCCCGGAAGGCCGAAGCAGGAGACTCACCATGAGTTCGAGGCCAGCCTGGGCCACATAGCAAGACCTTGTCTCAAAAACATTTATGTAAATAAAATTAAATAAATATGTAATCCCCCATGGAAACAAAGGAACAGCCAGTCTGCACACTAGTGTATGTGTGCGTGTGCATATATTAAAAAGTTCATGTGCTGACAGAATACTAGGCACACATACCAACCATGAGAAGAAAAATAAGGCTCCCTGCCAAAGAACAATCAATATTTCTGAAAATTTATACTTTGCAGACAAAAGGTAGGTCCTGGGCTTTTGTGATCAAAAGTGTCTCAAAACACACATGCATTTTGGTTGGTGTTTTGAGCCCAGAGCAAACCTGGCCAACCAGTTGGAAGACTGTGGACCTGGTGAAACTAGCACTTCACTGGCAAGTCTTCCAGGTTCAAGGTAAACACGGATCTAACCCATGGCCGCAGCCCATGTCTGTTGTGTGCACTGCCAGCAAGGCACTGCTTCCCTCCCTGTGGCTCTCCTCCTACCAGTAAGGTAAAGTAAGTTCACAGTTCCTTTAGAAATCTGTCCCAGGAGAACAGGTAACTGTTTCCACCCTAGATTTCCAGAGGGCAGCACAGACCCACGACTTTGGGGCCCTAAACCCACTCCCGGGCTTTTCCATTGCATGAGTACTAGGAAAGTCTCTAAAATCCAGTTTGAATTTCTCTTGGAATAAGAGTTCTAATACAGCAAATATTAGGGTTTTAGATAAACATCACTAATTCTTTTGCTGTGTGTTCAAGATTGTGATTTCATCCAAGTGAGATGGAAATTTTAGTGAAGCAATAGCTAATCAATAAATAATTTGTTCTTGGGCCAGGGATTTAGCTCAGTGGTTTCGCTGCCTGCTGCGCAAGTGCAAGGACCCGAGTTTGATCCCCGGTACCAAAAAAAAGAAAGAAAGAAAGAAAGAAAGAAAGAAAGAAAGAAAGAAAGAAAGAAAGAATTCGTTCTTTAGAATGCATCTTACATTTCTTTTAGAGAAAAGAATTGCCTGCCTAACCAATCCTCCCCTTGGAAGACTAAAATTCGTTTACAAACTCTAAGTACAAATGGAAAATGTCTTAAGAATGGTCGCTGTTTTAAACTACAGCCAAGCTCTCTACAACACAGGCATCTAATAAAAGTCAGCTCTAAAGATTCCCCAGGTCAATGGAAGAAAGTGGTTCCCCTGAATCCTGGGCATCAGGGAAAAAAGCCTGGGGCTCGCCCAGTGTGGATTGCCCCTAGGTCAGCAGCCTAGGACTGGTCTTCAGTGATGAGGCTTCCCAAAAGCCTGGGTCTTTAGGCCTAGGCACCGGTTGTTATTTAGCTAAAGCAACGCTGCGCTTCACGAAGTCCCGGGACAAGTCCCTAAAGCACTGTGCCCGCAAGTCAAGGTATGAACTCGTCCTGAGGCCAGGTCCTGCTGGGGAGGGACCCGAATGCAGAAGCAAATGGGATGAAAGTGGAGAACACGGGGCCGGACCCGGAATCAGGGAACACCAGATCTTCCCGGAGCGACCCTTGGCGGGCGGGCAAACCTCCGCGGCTCTGCGCCTGGTCTGTCCGAAAGGCGAGGCCGAGGACTGCCGCGGCCGGCCAGCGACGCCTGGCCCTCGAGGACGGCGCTCTAACCTCCGCATCCCCACGAACGGCAGAGGACGCTCCGCGGGAAGAACCTCGGACAGAGGCCGGGCCAGGTCGGGCTCTCCCCACCCTCCCGCGCAGGCTCACCCGATCCCTTTGGCCTCCAGCACCAGCAGCGTCCTCTGGGCGTACGGGCAGAAGCGCATGCTGTAGACGCGCAGCCCGCCGGCGGGGACCGGGCCCGGGGGCGGGCTGCCTGCAGAGAGGCTCCGAGCTGCCATCGCCGCCGCCGCGGAAGTGGGAGGTCGCCGCTCCGCCGCCTTTTACCGCCTGCCTCCCGGAGTCCACGCCCGGCCGCCGCCCCGGACCCACCCCACCGGCCCAGCCCTGAATTAAAGGGACCCCGCGGGCCGTCTGGAGCTGCTTTCCCCCCTCGCCGCTCCGGGAGCCCAGCGAGGGCCCCGAAGGTCCCAGGGTGCACCCCACGCGCCCCAGCCAGGGGAGCCCGCGGCTTCGTGGGGTGTCCCTTAAACAGCGCGCGGCTCTGTGCCAGCCTCCGCTGGCCAAGCTCGTGGCCGCCCCCTCCCCCGAAGGCCTCCGACGGTGCCCCTGAGCGTCCTCCCCCGCCTCCTGCACCGGTCATGCCGGGCCGCTCCAACACGCACAGCCCCTGCTCTCCAGCTGGCCCTTGGCTCGCTGCAGGTCGCCGGCCACCTGGATGGCCTTTCTTTCTTTTCTCCTGCCCCTCCTAGCGGTAAGGCCGCTGCCCCTCGGCTGGGCATAGGGCACACTGAGCCCCAAGAAAGAACATAACTCTGGATGTTCTTGTGAGAGTATAATTCACGTTCAGAATGCTGGGCTGCTTCCAAACGTTCGGTGTCGAAGCCCTAGCAAGGGCACAGGCTCAGGGGTAAGCAGGTGGCTGGGTGAATGTCCCCTCCTGGGCCGATGAACAAAGGTTAGGCCAGACCGTGGGTGCGTTCACCGAGTCTCCTTTAATGCAAGGCCAGGAAAAAGGGGGTCGGGGCACTACGATATGCAAAAGAAAACTGATTATCAATGATTTCCGTGTCTGTTCGATTTGAAAGCTGACCTTCGGGACTTGGGTGTCTTTTTGGTTAGCGCACACGGGGATATGCTGTCATTTGTGGAGCACCTCTGCTGCTTTAATTCTGTCTCCATCCCTGGGTTAGTTTTTCCTGGACCAGGGTAAGACAGAACCGGGGTGGCTTTAGGTAACAGAAACGTGTCCAGTGGTTCCAGAGGCTCGGGGATGGGGGTGAGGGCCTTCCTTCTGAGGACTGGGAGGGAGGATTTACTGTCTCCTGAGAGAGGGGGCCTCTGAGCCAATCTTTGGTGACCCTTGGGTAGAGAGCATCACCTGCTTTCTGCATTTATCCTCACGTGGCTCCTTCTGGAGCCGTGCTACTGTGGTGCGTTATAGCTGACCACCTCCACGTCTTATGTGGCTCTGCATAATCTGCAAACATCTGCATATAGAGTGGCATCCCAGGTTATGAACTTAATTTGTTTTATGATTTCACAGAAGATGGCTGCATTTGTGTTTGTGTGGGGTAGATGGCTGTGGGCGTGTTTGTCACTCGATGCAGAGTTTGCAAATGAAAACAAAATTCTGCCGAATGCTTTTGTGAAGCGAATTGTTTGCAAACAGAAGTGTTCATGAACTGAGGCATTACTGTACATTGCTGTTAGCCACAGTTAACCCACGTATGCCAGAGGTTGCCATTTTTGCATGAAATGCATATATATTACCTAGAAAAATTCAAGGAAGAATTTGAAAAGAAAATTTTGTAATGTGTTCCATTGTTTGTGACATTCTAAATAGGGAATGCTAGGGGCAAATGGGTGAAAATGATATATGGTACTGCACATTGTGCAGCTGTAACTATCACTAATTAACCGGAGGAGAAATTGATTCTGCTGGTTTGACGACGAAGAGTGAGAAAAATTGGCTTTCTACCTTGTAAATACCATCTGTCCTCACTGCCCATGAACATCCAGTTTATACAGCATCCTCTGTGACTCTTCAGGAATGGCGACTGAATAATTTTATACCTTCTAATAAATAATAAATTTATATGGACAAGACCAAGTTAGGAATATTGAAAGTCATAGTAACTGTTTCATTGCTATTAAGAAATAATCTTTAATTTTTAAAAAGTTAAAAGGATTTATTCTGAAAATAAAGTTTTTTTTAAAAATTAGCATTCTGTGACAGGTCATAGCAGGAAGAAACAGCCTTTATCAAAGAGATTCCATGGAAGGATACTGGCCAAATGAGTGAAAGAATTACCAAGGCCTGGCATCAGGGCAGTGGGAAAATTCTATCTAATCTCTGCAGTAAGGAGCCATGTGGGAATAAGTGGCCCGGAAAGAAAGGAATTTGAAAAGGAAAAATGTGGGAGTATTGAGAGTGTATTCCCCTCCTGGAGAAACCAGAAGCCTTTTTTCCTTCTTATTTCCAGTAACAATTTTCCTAACTTCCTCCGTTTGGTTCACAACTTTATTCATTGACCTTGTGAGACCATAAGCTCAGTTTGTACAGAATTAACTATTTCATATTCATTCATTCATACTGCTTCTTGCATGATTATCATTTCCCAGATAAAAACAAGTGACTAATTTTTGCCTCTCTTTGATTCCAATTTTTGGATCCAAGGGTCCTCATGAATTAATGTGCACACAGAGGTGGAGGAATGGTTTGCAATATAGAACAAATTTAATTATTCCTACATTTATAAATGTATATACATCTATATGTAGCAGGTATGAAGCCTGATACCAGTTCTTTCTTCTGACAGCTAGATGGATAACAAACATTTCAATTACAAATACTTTGTTTATATAAAATATTTAGTAAGATCTAAATAAATAGATCTTTAGACTTTCAGCAATTTAGATTTGGATTCTCTAATTTTTTTTGTTTGTTTGTTTTTTGAGACAGGGTCTCCCTTTGTAGTTCAGGCTGACCTTCAACTCACTATGTAGCTCAGGCTGGCCTTGAACTCAGGGCAATCCTCCTGCCTCAGCCTCCTGGGTGTGGGGATTACGGGCGTCCACCACCATGCCTGGCTGGATTCTCTCATTTTTATTCTTATAATTTACGTTTGACTTTTACATTTTAAATCCTAATTTAAAACAGTTGGACACATGGTTTATAGGCCTCTGTTTATATCTTGCCATGGAGTTAGTGGTGGGCCCGAAGTGATGACCCCCTGTGAGTTTTAAATTTTCTCAGTGCTCTCCATTAAGGCTGTGCCGGTTTAGCTTGATTTCAACTTGGTTGGCTTGAGAGATGCTAGATTACTGAAGCGCACTTCTGGGCGTCTCTGGGCTTCTCTGGTCATAACCTTGGCACTTTTTCAGGTCCTTGGCTCTTCGCTCTCGGACCCAAGTCTACTGCCAAGGTTGCTGAAGAGAGGTAGAACCTGTTGGTCTTAGACGTTGTTCACAGTATTCATCAATCTTCTGGAGTGAGGCCTGGAACAGATTTTCCTCATTTGTCCTGCCCAGTCTATTCCCCCCGGAAGATCTGTACTTCCCCTTCCAGTCTAAAAAAGGCCAGCATGCTTCTGTAACCTGGCTCGGGGCAGAGGTCAGGGCGTCTCTGTAAGGAATAAAAGGAAAGAGAATAAAACTTGCAGCAAGGGAGGGCTTTATTTAAGATAGAGACCCAAGAGGGGCCTTTGGCTCCAAAGTGCCAAAAGCAACTGTCTCTTACAGGTAAGGGTTTCTAGAGTCTTGAAGGGAATGGGGAGTTAGGAGCCCACTATTCTCAGGATCAGGGCTCTGAGTCTGTGGTCACTGGTCTGTCTCATGTTGTGCAAGGTTTCCCATTCCAGAGGCAGATGCCCCTTGGTCCCGATGTTCTGTACAGTAAGCAGATTTCATGGGCTTCATACTTCCGGGACACAGCAGAATGTGGGTAAGGGTTGTAACTTGTGGGAAATGGCTTTGCCCTTCAGTCTCCTTGTGCTGTTCAGCCACAGGCGCCCAAGAACCCCAGCTGGAGGCCTCCCTTTACATCTAGACCCCACAGCCAAGGTGTTAAGGAGTGTGATACACACAAGACTGCCTTTTCTATTGGTTCCCTTCAGTTTCTCTTTTGCTGTAGGGCCGGGAAAGTTCAGTCTCCTAGGGTCAGGGCTGTTCCAGCCCTGGTCAGTTTTAGTTCCCCAGGGCCCATGTTTCCTGCCTGCCTCACATCCTCTGCCAACCACTTCCTGTGGGACCAGGGCAGGACTGGCCTCTCACACTCCTCCCGGGGTTGGCTAGAAAATGCTCAGGCTGTAGGTAAAGGTGTACGAGAAGTCCTAGGGCCACTTCTTCCTGACACTCAGAAACATGAGGTTTTGCCAGACGGTTTTGTGCAGTTCCTAAACACTAAGCCCTGTGTGTCTGCCACTCCTATTTCAGCACAGAAACTCTTTCGGGTAGAATCCTAATGAAGGGCACCATCATTTGACTGTGGTCATCAGAAACCTAGGAGCATCCTTAATTCTTTCTTCTCCCTTCCTGTCCTTATCAACCCATCACCAAATCCTACAGACTTTTACCTTCTCTAAGAACTCTTTCATACATTCACTGTGGGCTTCAACTAGGGGAGATCTTGCATACATTTCCACCCTGGGCAGACACTTAACAATGTCTACTAATGTTTTGAATTGTCACAACTGTGGAATTGTGACTGTCAGATGCTGCTAAACATCCTGTAAAGCATGGAATTCCTCCCTCCAGTCTAGCCCAAGATACCGCAAGTGCTGAGCTTGAGAAATCCTGCTTTATCTCCACTCATTAGGACCATGGAATAGACTGAACGATCTTTCCGAATTCAGTTGTTTTCCTACCCAACTGATATTCTGCTGCAGCCAGAATGATCTTTTATAATCATAGATCTGGTCATAACATTCCCTTGCTTAAAACGATTTGGTGTATTTTTCATGGCTCTTAGGATGGGGCCAGAATTCTCAAGCCAACCCTCACCTAAGCTTTAGCTTCTTCTCAGCCTCCCCTGCGGTATTTTCTTCTCATCCCTCTGCTTTGATGATGGTGTTATCCCCAGTTCATCCAAGCTGAGGCCCTGCCTTTATACCTGCCCACAACCTGTCCTCCACCTGCCCTGCCCCCTCTAGCGATCACTCCTCATCCCTGGACCCTCAGTGAAAATGGCAATACCCACAGAAACTGTCCTCAACGCAACTCACTTAACTAGAGTAGCATGAAAGGAGATTTTTCAGTGATGTTTGCTAGAGTGTGGTAAGGCAGACTTCACTGCAGACCACTCTGACAGAAACAGGAATCACAGGAATGAGAGAGAGCTGGCAAGGGAGTTTGGCTGGACTCCAATCCGGCATGGAAAAGTGGGGATTTCTACCCAGGTAACAGGGCGGGCCAGTGTGTGGGAACTATCCAGGCAAAGCCCAGAAGTAAGTGGCACTCAGCTACAGCACCTGACAGGCTTCTCGCTGCAGACTGGGAGGCTGGGGAGTGGACATCACTGAGAGGTGGTGGTCAGATATGGGGCCACTTCCTGTTAGGTTGACAACAGGGTTCTTTGCTAAAAGTGAATTATACGAGAGGTACACAGGCTCAGGAGAAGGTTCAGAGGACTGGCTAAAATTTGGCCAAGCAGAGAATCTTTGTCACTAGGTGAGGAAACCAGTGTATGTATCCGTAACACCATGCTCCTTTTGTTCCTGTCTTAATTTGTAATTCTACATTCGTGTAATTAATGGGGCTGTCTAGCCCTCCACCCTGAGCCCCACCAAGGACGGAGTGTTACCCGTCTTACTGTTTCTCCAAGTGGCCAGCACGAGGCATGAACACTCATAGGCTTTGTGAGAGAAACGAAGGAGAGAAGTTTGTGTAAAAGAAATGTGAAAGTTGTCAGAATCAAAATGGAGTCACACGTATTGACCCTAACCAAACAAAAAAGTAAATGAGCGAATACACAGGAAGAAAGAGTTCTTGTGGATGCAAGTGCCTTATCATGACCATCACAGAAGACTGCCGGACTCTGACCTTACAGAGCAGCCACTGCACCTTCCACAAGGACACTTCTGCATGGACATCTGCCCAGCACCTGGCGCCCCCTCAGAGGGATGCACTCTTGTTAACCAGCGTGGCCAAGGAGCAGTGCTTCAAAACACCTGGTGTAACCCTCCTCGTTTTTATCTTTTAAAATCCCGTTTCCCCCTTCTTTCAACTCCCCCATAATTGATCAGGGCAAGTGCAGCCCCATGGTAAGGCTCTGCTATCCCCAAATCTCGTCTTCTTTGGAGAAGCTCTCTGTGGTGGTTTTAGATTTAGGTGGCTGGTGCAAGACAGAAGGAAGCATGAGGGAGGGCAGGACAGGGGAGGCTGGAGGCTGGGCGATGACCAGCCGCTGAGCAGCCGACGGCGACTCCCGGCCTACGGGCCTGTGGAGATGAACTCCTGCCCGCCACGTCCGGGACCGCGCTGGTCACGGTGCGAGTTCCGGACCGTCGGCTCCTCCCACTTCCAGGAACTAGGAGCCCTGCCCGGGGCGGGACCTCACGGATGGGCCCGCCCGCTGCCCCCTTGCGGCTCTCTCATTGGTCGAATCGCCCAGCGGTTGCACAAATCCGCTAGGCTCGAGCGAGAGCGGGCAGAAGGGCGAAGCCAATGGGCGGGGCTACGGTCTCCAGGATACGAGTGTAAACAACGAAGGCTGCGCCTCCGGGGCCTCGGGGTAACCAGGCCGGGTCTGGCGCTGGCTGCCGCGCCCGCCGAGGAAAAGGCAGCCCATGGCGCAAGGCCGGGAGCGAGAGGAAGCTTCCTACTACGCCCACGGCGCCGGCGCGGGGGGCGCGAGCCTGTCCGTGAGGTGCGGAGTCCAGGCCCGGCCCCGCCTTGGGCCTGGGGAGCCCGGGACCCCCGCTTCCGCCGCCCCGTGGGCCGCGCGCTTCTCCGCGCCCTAACCTTTCCTGCAGACTCCCTCAGTCCTTACTCTCCTGCCGCCTTTCGCTCCTCACTTTTCCACGACCCGACCCTTGCTGGAGACCCGGCTTTCCTCTCCCCGGCCTGCGTTTCTGCCTGCCCACCCTGACCGCGCCCCTTCTGCGAGCCGGCGCCCTGACCTTCCCTGCCTGTCCCCCACTTCCTGCACAGCCCCTCGGCAGCTTTGGCGGACCCAGGCTGGGCTCCCGTCTCCAGCTCTGCCGCACTCCTGAGCCTGCTCCCCAAACCCGAGTCCTTCATGCGCCTCTGCACATCTTCCAGCTGATCTTTATCCTTTGAAGAAAACAGTCTCTAGCTCAGACTGACCTCCTAGCAAGTATTACAGAAGGATGTGCCTTTTGTCTTCTAACCTTTTAAAAATGCTGACCTCATTTCTTCTTCTTTTGTGGGGGGGGTCTGCCCTTACCGATATTTTTAGTTCTAAAATATGGCAACATACATCTGTGTAAAAAAGCAATTTTTCCTGTTTGTATTACAACCACAAAGTGCGTTTTCATACCCAAAATTGTTTTTTAAGGTTTATTTTTAAACTGAAAACTAATTATAAAAGAAGGGCCCAGGGTGAAGCCTGTTTTCCATTAGAATGAAGCTCATTTTGCTCTCTGTTGTTTTCACTTTTTCTCTTCCAAGCATGCGAGACCCTGAAAATCCTTTTGAGGCATTCTTAGGTTTGGTCAGTTTTCTTTACTGAAAAAGTTCTGTGTATGAGACCCGTAGGACCCCTGCAACTTAGGGTCTATTTTTAAATTTTTGTAGTTCATTGACTCAAACTGGTCTCAAGGCCAGCAGATGTGGTCTTTTTATCTTGGGGATTGTTTGGGGCAGAAAGGGAGTGAAATAGAATAGATGTGTTTTGATGACTTTTTGTTTGCTTTGTTAAAGAAAGAAAATTATTTGACATTATACTGTATGATGTTGATGGTGACATATCTTTTCCCAAAGATGGGTGCAAGGATTCCCTAAGCAGAATGTTCACTTTGTCAACGACAACACCATTTGCTACCCTTCTGGAAATTATGTAATATTTATTAATATTGAAACCAAGCAAAAGACAGTTCTCCAGTGTATTAATGGAATTGTGGGCGTCGTGGCAACTAACGTTCCTTGTGAAGTTGTGGCTTTTTCAGACCGGAGGCTAAAACCCTTCATCCACATATACAACTTTCCTGCACTGACCAGAAGGACCAAATTAAAAGGTATTGGGGGGCCACTTCCTCTGCCCCAAAATGAAGGATTTCGCTATAAGATTTGACCAAACCTAGTTCTTGTAAATGAAGGTGGTTTGTATTTTGAAGATTTTTGTTTTGAATAGAATCAAGCAGATCACTAAGGAAGTCAGACCTTACATGACTCAGTGTGGGCTGCTTGCCACCAACATTGGTACCACCTGGGAAGCTGCTGAACCATGCAGACCGACTCTCACCCTGAGCCTCCTGAGTCAGAATCTGCATTTTAGCTAGACTTCCAGGGTGGTTGAGCAGATTCCTGTACACATTTAACTTTGAGAAGTGTGGGGCAAGGCTGGAAGACTGAGCTTTTTCAGAACAATATTTTCTTTCCTAATGATTTCTTGAAAATCCAGGTGAATTGATGTTTGTATAACTTATAAAGACAAGTCCCTGAGGCTCACTTTCTCGCCTACTGCATGGGGATAAAGGTAGTATCCAGTATCAGGCTGGTGCACACATGCCAAGCGCTCAGGGCCACCCTCTGAGTTAGGGTGGCTGAGTTCATGGTGTAACAGATAGCAGATGGGCTACCATGTGTCCTCCAGGGCCTCTGTCTAGCACACGAGTGATGGAAAGCTCATGCTGGAGGCTGGTCTTAGTTCTGCAGCCTTGTGGATTAAGGGAAATGTATGGGTGAAGTCTGAGAATACTGGGAATTTGTAGCATTTTATTTGTGGGGAAATGTGTCTTTCTTCTCAGCAGATTAAGATGATTTGTAAAGCATAACCCATTTGTATGCTGGGAACTGTGTGGACTATAACTATCCTTCACAGTTAAAGATTCCCAGACTTAGTTATTTGGCTGTTGTGCTGTGCAGATTAATTCAAATCAGCAGCCAACATCCACAATGAATATTGAAACCCTAAAAAGAATTTACAGTCAAATTAAGAATAAACTGTCAACCATGCCTGTTTTTACCACAGTTATTTAATACCAACCTGGAAGTTCTAGCCAATGCAACAAAATTGAAAATTAAAAAAATAATTATAGCAATGGGAAAGAAGACTATGGGTAATGCATAATGTACTAGGACTGACAAGAATGCTCAGTAAGATGCTAGTTTCAAAATAAATACCCATGCAAGTAGAAAATTTAAATACTTAGAAATAATCCAAGACAAAAAAGTGATCTGGATGAGGAAAATAACAAAATCACTGATTTTATTCCTGGATGGAAAGCCTGATTATTATAAATAATAATATTCTTTCTAACATTTCTACCTTTTGTCATAGGTTTATCATGTTTTAAAGAGCAAGGAGTACTTAAATGATTATGAAGGTCATCTGGGAAAGAAGAAAGTAGAGTGTAATTTAAAAGAGAAGGTGGCAAGCCAGAGGCTGTTTAGAGTGTCATGGTGCCATAGTAATGAAGCATGTGGTGTTGATGCATTGCTGGTGATTTCCAGATCAGTGGCAGGGACAGGATCTGGAAAAGCCAAGTCTGTCATGAAAGAAATCCTCTCCCACAAAGGGTGTGGATTATTCAGCAATAATGTTAAGAGAACCAAATATCTGAACAAAAGATGTATCAAGTTAGAAACTCATGTTACAATGCACATCAAAACATATACCACACGAAAATAAGCATTCAGTATAAACAAGCACATTGGAAAAGCTGAGGAAAATAGGATAGAATATTGAAATGATTTCAGGATAGGGAAAAACATTCTACACACAAAAATTAAAAATTAAAGGACTGACATATTTAATTACATACACATTTAAAACTTAGGAACCTAAAAAACCATGAAAAGTTAAAAGGCAAATATCAAACAGGGAAATCTTTGGAACAAATATAATCAAATATTTTCAGAGCATTTATGAAAGACAAACGTCTTGTGAGAACAGTGGAAAAAGAACTTGCTCAGACAAATCACAAAATTATTAATGACCAAAAACATCAAAAGAAGTCCCATCTCAATTGGGTATGGTGGCACATGCCTGCAATCCCAGCCCTCAAGGAGGCTGAGGCAGGAGGATCACTCTGAGTTCCAGGCCAGCCTGGTCTACATAGTAAGACCCTTTCTCAAAAAAACCAAGCCAATCAAAATCAAACAAAATTTTAAAAAAAAGAGGTTCCATCTCAGTATTCATTAAAAATTGTGTGGCTTACTGTTTTTTTCTGCTTATCAAGGTCACAGTTTTTAATGATGATTTCTCAATTTCCAGTAAAGGGAAATTGGTAGCATTCATGTTTGCCAAAAGTAGGGGTCTAAATTGAGTCAGTCTCTCTGGGAAGTTTGTATTTATATCTGCTGTCAGAAGTAGAATTCAATTTTGACATAGTAACCAGGAATCTGGTAAAAGACTTGTGCGCAAAGAAGTTAAAAGCACTGTCATAATAACAAAAGATTGAAAGCAGCCTGTATCCCCAGTATTGTGGTTCTGGTTACATAAGTTCAAATACCCCATGAAGGGTTATTATTGCAAACATAAAAATCACTTTCCTTATTTATTTACTTATTTGTTTGAGACAAGGTTTTCCTATGTAGCCCAGGCTGGTCTTGAACTCACCAATCCTCCTGCCTCAGCCTCCTCAGTACTGGGATTACAGGTGTGTGACATCATGAAAAATCAATTTTAAAAGACATATTTAAAAAATGACAAAATGCTTACTATAATGTGAACAAAAACTCAACAGGATGCAACACTATGTATGATTGAAGTTCCAGTTTTAAAATGGAGTTATGTGTAATATTTAGTGTACAGTGATTGTAGCTATAAAAAAGCAAGACTACTTTTAAAGAAAATGTATTTGTATGCGCTTTTTTTTTTTACAAATAAACACGCAGAAGAAAATGCTACCCGGTCATGGTGGCACAGGCCTGTAATCCTAGCCCTCTGAAGGCTGAGGCAGGAG